ACCCGTTAATTATTCATTTCGTATTCTTCGAATCCTTTTCCTGCAATATCTTCTGCATTCCTGCCTCAGACGGCAGACGATACCTGCCAGAAGCAGCCATCTTTGTTGATAGAAACGCTACCCGGAACCTCTCTAGGAATATCCTATGCTAGCACGTTACTTCTGGAGACTCTCGGGAGAGGCTCACGAGAGGGCTCATGGCGAGGGAAATATAACGATTTGGGGGCGACATAACAAAAGTAGTAGTAATGCAGCGCTACTGCGGATGACATAACGATTGTTTCTAATCACGTGATACCGTATTGACTGATCAGAAACAGGAATATATGAATGAGGTATAATAATAAAAAAAGCTTGTTACCCTCTATCGGTCATCACGATCACCGAGGCCGGAGTCACAACCCCTGATGTGACTCCTAGAGTAATGTGACATGTGGTAACTTTTATTTCGGAAAGGTAGCAGACAGTATCTACAACGTCTAAAACGCTCACAGCTTTAACAAGTCTGCGTTCAGCTCTTCCGCGTATATGTTTGGTTCTAGAGCGTTCACATTTGGTTTTGTACGACTGGTAGTTTAACACTGGAGGTACCGGTTTACTGTTAACAAGTTTAACAAGTTAAACTATGGTTTTACCAATATCACCACCGTGAAATATGTGTTTATGACTTTTTCAAAAGAAATATTCCATAACAAATACATGATACTATGCAATTGAAATTGGGATGTTTGAAAATAAAAATGAAAATAAAACAAGAAAAGTGGAGTGTTCGAACTCGGTAGCCTGATATTATAAAAGAACACTATAAAACAGTGTGTACTTAATCATAATTATAGTCGTAAAAGTCTTTTTTAAGGAAGACTAATCATAACAGTTTGTTGCGTTTACCTAACATTGATATCTAATTAGATGTTATGACTTTGTTAGGAAGTCTTTAATTGAGGCCTTGTTTATCCTGATATGAATTCATTTTGGTGAATGAAATAGGGCATATAATTTACTAAACATATATACATGAGATTAGAAACTGTCTGTATTTATTTAGCCCGATATTCTAACCCCACTGACTGATTGAATGACAAACCACTTTCCTATTTTTCGAACGACGATAACCTGCTAATCATTAAAGATTTTGAGTTCCAATCGGTAACTTTACCTTCCTTTAAGGTAACATACCTGCCTACGATGTTTACTTGCCCACCGTGTGATTCAATGTCATGGGTTGTGTATCAAATATCAGATTTCCATAATAGTTGTCAAATGGTGTGGCCAAAAAAATGATAAACAAGTGTCGGGAGATGGGTGTTGATGAAGAGGATTATGAGTAAGTTTGATAGTGGCCACCGTGATCTAATTTGGATTATCTACATCTGCATTTCCTGGTGCCATATGAATATCGACGTTATGGAAGGCGCTTAACCCTAAGGTCTTATTCTTCTTACAAGTACGTCCAAATTAGTATACCCTTATTGTCCGAAAAGCAAATCGAGCTTATGCCGTGGCGCGGCGTTCGTCGTCCGTCCGTCCGTCCGTCCGTCTGTCCGGCGTCAGGTTTTTTTCTACAGTTGTGTGATCGCACGACGCATCAAAACTAGCGTGCGCACATCGTACATACATTCTTTACATCGTGCGTACAACGTCCACACATCATCCACACATGGTGCACACAACTGTGCGATTTAACAACCATTCGTCCCATGTATGCTTCTCTCCGCGCAAATGTGCGATTTGGTACATTTGGTTGATCAATATTACGGAATGAAATAAATCCGAAAGGTTCCTATGGAATAAGGAATACTGTATATAATTATCATCCTATTAATCAAGATTATCTTCAAACTTCCAATTTACAATAGATCTTTTTACACTTTTATTGTCTTTTATTAAGTTGATATATAGTTCGGATCGTTTTGCTGAACTCTTTGCAATACTTTGATAGTGATACTGTTATTGAAGGACTGTCAATTGACAGGCATATTCGTATCTATGACAAACTTTAAATCTTTACGAATTATACGTTTATCAATATTTAGCTATGAGGAATGTGTTTTTTATGATATACTTCCAAACTTTTTATTTTCTAACATTTCAATTTCATATTTTCTTTTGAAAATTAACATTGACCTTATCATCTTGCTTGATTAACCTAATTTTGTCGGGTTTAATTGCTGTAATCTTTCCTGACAGGTTATAGTCTGGTCATTAATAATTATAATCAATTTACTTTGGCAAATTTACAGTTCACTAGTATCTATTCTTCACTCTGTTCATATTCTTCTACTTCTAAATGGTACTGACCAACTTCAACAAGTTGAAGATAAAATGTCAGACGAGGAGTGAAACATGGAAAGAGATTGTTTTTAAAAGATACGAGACGGTCTTATTTGCGTTTGAAAGGTGACGGTAGAGGGCTGATTTGAATAATTCCGTTGTAGGGCTCGAAATAATGTCAGGTGGGAGTTTATTCCACTCGGGTATAGTTCGAGGGAAGAATGATGCCTTTCTGGTCTGGGTTTTTGAGTGGGGAATTTGATACGAAAACTGGTGGTTTGTTCGGGATTTTCTAACTGTAGGGATTAATCTGTCTGATTTTACGATAGCGACTTTCTGGTTTACAATGTTATGAAGCATGGTCAGACGAGCATCTCTACGTCTATCTGCTAGAGGGCGCAGCTTTAGGTGGTCCAACATTTCTGACACACTGGAGGTACGATGGTTGTACCTGTGCTTATTGAGCACATAGCGCGCTGCCCTTCGCTGGACCATTTCCAACTTGTCAATATTTGTTTGGGTGTGAGGGTCCCATACTGTACAGGCATACTCAAGTGATGGTCGAACTAATGATTTGTATGCCTGTACTTTGGCTGATGTTGAGCCAATTTTAAGATTTCGTCTTAAAAAGCCTAGCGTAGAATTTGCTTTTGGGCAGATAGTATTTATATGTGAATCCCATTTAAGGTCAGATGATAGTGTTACACCCAGATACTTGGCCTGACTAAGATGTTCCAGTATGTGTTCATGTAAAGTATAATTATGGACTATTGGAGTTTTGTTTTTAGTCACCGACAACACATTGCATTTGTTTGGGTGGAAGATCATTTTCAATGTATTTTCCCAGAGCGCTAGTTTAATTTATATTAATTTGGTATAAACATATTCTTAATTGGTGCATTAAATTAAACATTTTTTTGTGAAAACATCTTTCGATTGAGAGAAGTTAATCGAGGTGTCCGCAGTATACATGTGCTAGATTTTGTCACGAAGACCCATTTAAACCAGCCGGGTATATTCTGACTGATGAAGAATAGGAAATAAACAGATTTACATACTTAAACAAAATTGTCGGCATCCTGAATTAACTGTCTTATTTCCTACCATTATTCGTCTCCTGCAGCATCAATATTTTACTAATTTCCCCATTGATCTGGTACATTTTCTGCCGCTTTGTGATGCTACTAGCAACATTAATCGATCGACGTCACTTTATGCATGACATCATAAGACGTTCGCCCAACCGTTTTGTGAAAAACAATATATAAATATAACAAGGCCAGAGGGATTACACTTTTCATAAGAATATATAAGCTACCACAGCAAAGAAATATTACTGAATGCAATATTGCAAATAATATCCCGGGTACAGGACCAGTCCCCGGGGCCAATCCTAGGCCAGTCCCCGGGGCCAATCCTAGTATAGCATGTGTATCCGAATCATCATGGTAAGCTATTGTATATATTGTTAATCGGTAGGGCTCTCAGATGTGTGTATGTCATGACGCAGGAACTAAACTGTAAGTCCCTATGGGCGTGGGCAGACTCCAGTGTCAATCTTTGAGAAATATTTTTATTTCTAATTCCATGAACCACAACTGTATATATGATTATGGGATGATAATCTTAACCGTTTCTAAGACATGACCAAGGGACTAAGACATAATTGGTGGAAATGGACTTTGCAGCTATCATGGTAGCACATGTGTATTCTATATGCTTTTAGAGCGGGGTCTCAACTATTTCACAGTTGTTCTCCAGAAACTTATTCCCCAGAGATCAGACCCTAGAGTATATATTCTAATATCAAGATTGTGCTGGTTTCTTTATGCACAGCGTCTCTATCCATTGTGACTGGGTGGGTATCTCGACGGCTTCAAGGCTATGACACAATGACATGATATCCAGGGTTGGGGCCTGACCCCGGAGTTATCCTGGTATCAGCAATTGTATATACTTCCAACTAAATATGGTCTCAGCGTGAGGATATAAGTAATTTCCAAGTCAGAAACTCCTTTTGGCCTCGCCCCCTAGACCCGGGGGTCTGCTCCTCCGTCCCCACTACCTGTGAAAGCTACGAACCAGACATGGTTAATATCCACCCCTATGTTCCTAGAAGAAGTCGCTTAAACCAATATTTCCAAATAATTCCTTGGGTCCCGCCCCTAAGCCAACCTGGGATCAGCCCCTCATTTCTTTATATTTTGAATCAAATTATCTAAGAACACTTCCAACTAAATTTGGTTGTCACTTGTAGCCATATTCCAGAGGTCGCGTAACGCAATAGAGCCAAACTACCAAATACAGCCCTATCCCTCTGACTTCCAAGGGTCAGCTGTACCATCTATACATTTTATTTTGAATTTCACCACCTAGAGATGGTTCCAGTCCAAAAAAATGTTTAGATTCCAATCAGTGGTTCATATTAAGTCTTTTGATTGAAGAAATTGTTGACGGACGGACGGACGAAAGACGACTGACACCAAGGTAAGGAATACGTTGGACCAAGTGAGCTCAAACATATTTATTGTCCGGAAAGGAACAACCAATCAGGATTGAGAACTTTCCCGCATCTTAATTATATGATTATTGCAACATTGCAAGCAGAGACGAGCTTCAATTATATCTCCATCAGAGACCAGTTAGTGTTCAGTACTGAAGATTTCCGTTGATGAAGCTGTAGTTGGTTTCTGTTAAGACCGACAAAAATACAAACTACAATACAAGTACTTGTTGCAAATTAATACATCTTTAATATTCATTAAAATACAAACAGTTTAAGATATAACATATTAGATTGAGAGGAGAGGACGATAAAACAGGAACATTATTTTGTATTTGTGAATGTTTGCTCAGATTGTACACACACATTGTATTTCGATTGTTACTCACTATGGTCAGTGACAGTGGTAACAACATCAATACACTCTGGTACCACTATTACCATCAATGTAACCCTTGTGTCTCACATTTCTACGCATGTTTCCCATACGGAACACTCATACGCAATACTAGTAATTAACAATGACGTTCTAAATGGCCTTTGCTATTATGATGACAACGAGCAACACTATGACGTCACAAGTGAAATCTAATCATAGTCTTGTTTGACTGAAATAAACGATCGTATACATTTCGTTTGTTGTACATTTCTTTTATTTTTTTCCAAATATAACCTAAGTTTACAAATACGCTGAACAGAAATATTGTGAGACTAGGTGTTCACTTGCATTGTTACTGTAGTGGTTTCCAACGTTCCGGTAGGAGGTGGAAGGTAAAGAGTCAATCATAATGTAGTTTAAATGAGATATAAAATATCTTTCACCGGGTGATTTGTTTCTTTTTATCTATATTTATTCCATTATATACTGTAATATCCAGTGAATGTACCAATGTTGTGGGGGGTTTTGTTTATCAACCCATGTAATATGACCTATCAGCCCTGTGATTGGTTGTAAGTGTTAATTGTTTCAATCGTGACGTCACGCCTAGGACAAGTACATTACGTCACAGACTTATGCACTGGAGTCAAAATGGCGGCTTTTTACATTTCAAAGTGGCATGAAAATTGTCGTGTTACACTAATAAATGCCACAAATCTTGATTATGAGATAAAAAGGATTTTACACTCGATTTCATTTCCTATGATACTATGAAACTTGTCACGAATTTTTCATTTTAGAAAAACTTTTGACTCGTTTCATAAATCTCATATGAAATGGAAACTCATGTAAGATCCTATATATATTAGACTCTAGATATTGAAATTTATTTGTTACAATAACGGATTCCGTCCTCTTTATAAGTAGTGTAAGCATCGATATATATGTTTGCGTTGATTCAGAAGGAGAGGCGTTCTCTAGTTCAATATTATAGAGACAATCATAACAAGGCACATACAGATAGTGACGTTCTTCTAAGAACTCAATTCCTTGGGCATACATCGCAGGTAAACCGCTGCATAATAGATATTTACAATTCAAATTCAATAAGCACACCAAGTAACGGAAGGGAAAATGTAGTGTTCATTTGAAAACCGGATACAGCAGTCTGTGAGGTGTTCATGGAAGATCAAAAATTGCACAAAAATGTAACCATTATATTTTATTATAAAGTAATTATCAAAACACATTGCTTCCGTCAAGGTGTTTCTCTGCTTTATGAACACTTCAATATCAAAGAGTATAAAAAGATATAATATAAAAAGGAAAACATATTTACAAAATATATGTTTAAACAAAACAAAAAAGGCTTTTAGAAAATACAGCTGACGTATATTCCATATCTCATAATATTTATGATAAAAAAAAAGGTAAAAAGACATCTGGTCAGAAATACTTTAAACACAGATCTACAAAAATACATGACAATACCAAACGAGCAATTACAATAAAATGTAATAGAAAACTTTAATGTTTGAAATTTCTGTTTCATTGATGAAATTCAGAGGTTTGAAATTGTGATCTGAAGGCAAATGCATTATAAAAATCTAACGTAAAGACAAGTGGCAAATTGCCATATTCCTGTTAATTTTCACCAGCTTTAAAAGGAGAAATGTAGTGCAGTATTCGGGCTCGCACGCGCATTCGCCAGAGACCCTTTAACTGTCATAAGGGATCATTTTAGAGGATGCTATATTTTAAGCATGTTTAGGATCACGAATTTCAGAATAAATTGTTGAAAAATCAACCGTTAATCACCCCAAATCTCAAAAGCAAACCCCTTGCGACAAAACAAGGATGAAAAATCCACCCCTATTTTTCCAGTTATCTTTTACACAAACCCATTTTTTCCTGACATGACAACAAAGCCTTGACTGGCTACGCCCATCAGCGGAAAAGGAAAATGACCCAAATTACTTTTTTTCAATATTACATGATTAGAGATAAGACAAAAAAGACATAATCAATGTTTCGATGAGTGATTGCAACATGTAAATATCGTGTTTGATCTCGATGAAGACTTATCATAGCGGAAGTATCCATCAAATGAGATAAATTGGTATGTATCACCAACAGGGAGGCAATTGATTAAATTAAAACTACTTTTTAAATTGCCTAAAGGTACATGGAAAGCGAGCTTAAAACTGATTTGTTATACTTACAAAGGCATTCTGTAGTATGCTGTTAATTGATTTTAAACATTACAATACATATGTAACGTTTCCGTTTCGCGATTTCACAAGGTCTTTCAGCTGTCTGTCTTATTAGTTGTAATCGCCGAATGGCGCAATGCAATCTAGCACGGAATAGTAAATGTCGATATCTCTATTTTAATATCATGGGAAACAAACGTGGTGTTCGTTCCAATCTAAACTACTAGAGATCGCGATGAATTCCTGTTGACAAGCACAATTAAATGATCCTGGTTATCAGATTGTGAGTTCTGTCGAGTAGTTTTAGTTTCAGGCTCATATGCATTCTTTTCCTTTTTAGCGCTACTTTCACCTGGCACTTCGTCCTTCGCTACAGATTCTGGTTCAACGGTCTCCGAGAGAGAGCTAAAACTTTCTGCCTTTAACAGCTTTTCCCCCGACTGGTCCCGAATTTCACCGCCTTCTATATCCGTTACAGTGACTGGTTGGTCGGCCGACACCTGAACGTTTGCTATTTCAATATCGGCTACAGTCCATGACTCTTTGTATTTTCTGATGAGATCGTTAAAAACCTCACGGAAATGAAGATTTTCTATGTCAACACCGGCATCCTCGGGAGCCTGCAAATACTTCCTAAATAACCAGGGAACCAAGCCTCCAGCTATGGCTGCAAGTGTTTGATTAGTGCCCAGAGATCCAGACTCTTCGCTGAAAGCCAGGGCAATAAGCATAATGAAGAATAAGAAGCTAAAGATCCGTAGAATATTGTTGATAACATCAATAAGGTTCTGATCGAGTGGCCCCGGTATGCCAACGCAGTCCATGACACATGCTTCTGAGAAAAACTTCCTCGGTATATATGATGTATCTTTTCTGTCAAGAAAGAACATCAACCGTTTGGTTTTCCACGACAGGTTGCCTTCCTCGTATGTCAGCTTGAAGTTGCCACTTGGCGAGACGCTTTCTTGTTGTGCATCAGGTTCCCCGAGAGGTGTCTCGTCAATCAACTGAAATACTGTATTTTTCTGAAGATTTTCATTTAGAAGAGACACTTTGAGGATATCTCCTCTTGTTTTCTTCATCGCTTCGGTAATAATGGTGTTATTGAATTTGATGTAGCTTTTGGTCACACCTTCAAATAAATCACGGATATAAAAAGCCAACATGAGCGATAAAATCACGTATTTCGTTGTAAATGAAGCATTCAGGAGCAGACCGATCAGGACATAAATAAATATATCGATATAAAACGATATACAATCCAGTACAACAAATATTACAAAAGGCAAGGTACAGACCAGAATTAGTATGATAAGCATGTCGGCTGGTGAACACAACTTGTTACTATCGTCATCATTATCATCGTCTTCTGGATCTCCACCATCGGTCTGGTTTAGAAAAATTGGATTGAGCCCTAGCCCATCTGATAAGTATTTAGCTATCGCTCGTACACATCGGCTTCTCGATAGACATCCGCAATTGTTAGAAAGGACATAAGTGAATAGGTAGCTGGGAATAGAGCACACCAGATTAACTGTTGGCAACAGATAGAAGACAAAGCTAAAAACCACAAAAGGTAGAAACAGTACGAAATACACAAAAGCAAGTAGCCATCCTTTAATACTGCTCTGGTTGACGACGGAACGGCACGCTTTATATATCGTCTGAAACGCTAATTTGATTCGCCTTTTACGAGAATCCCGCAGGCACTGTTTCAGAATTTCAATTACAACATCTACTCTGCGTGTCCCCCGAATCTTGAAAAATTGCACGAGTACAAATAGACCAATTAGAACGAGGTATATAAGATACAGCTCCAAGCGTGGAATAATTCTGACTCCGAAACTACTGTATTGTATAAGGTTAGAATTTAGGTTTAGGCTTTCCAGACTGTTAACAACAAACCAATCGGGATAAGTATAAGTAAAGAAAAACGCTAATCTAGCAATGACAGGAATGTTCACTAATATGATGATCAGTAACAAATACCCAGTATTCAAAATCTTTCCGGAAAGTATACGAACATACTCCCGACACGAATTTCCCTCGCTGAATCCACGTCGCCGTAGTTCGTACCGAGCAAGCATATCGTAAAGCATTGTAAAAGGTCCGAATGGATCGACGTCTTTTCCGATTAAGTTCTCTCTTTCAACATAGAAGTGAATTTTCTCCAGAGTGCAGTCGTACCGTTGATTATCATCAAGAGTAGCTAGCGTTTCACAGAATCTTGGCATGTCCTTAAAATACTTTTCATTTATTTCTAACTTGGATCTTTCCACATGTTGCTCCTTCGAACGCTTTGTAATATGGATATTAAGTTCAGAGTCAACTTTATGCTGGAAGAATATGTCGTTTCCATTATCCCGGAATAGATCGAACGGTATCATCAACGGCGCAAACATAAGTGCAATCAACGGTAACACCAGAATGCACAGAAAGAATATGTTCATCCATTTGTTACGTTTTAGCTCATAGCAGGTGGTTTTGAATAAATCATCCTTTTTGCAACACACAAAATACACTTCAGTGCCAGTTTCGTGTTCCCTGAATCTAGCGTTGCATACTTCTTTTCCAATCCAGGTGATATTTGTAACGGGATCAGCAAAATTGTTAAGAATGAAATCTCGCACATCATTCGCAATATCTGATGCTGGTTTCGTACTTAGACATCCTTCTGGATTGTCAGACAGGTTTATGTCTAAATCATGAACGCCGTATCTCAGACTCGTCAAAGATAACACCTCAAAGTTCTGTCTGAGCCAAATAAGACCCTTCCCGTGGTTTCCTGACACATGGACCCAAGTAAAGGGCTGAGGGGTATCCACAGAAATAGGGATTGTTCGACTAACATTGCTGAAGGAAAATATCATGAACAGCATATGGTATCCAAGCTCGAGTGCTTGCTCCAAATCCTCACTGTTCTTATCAGCAGATATGCTACAAGGTGAGGAAGAAGTAGTCTGTCCATTGACTACTAAACACATCATCATAAACAAAACGGCAACCATCCTTACTCCATCCATACCTAACACATTTCCCATGTCTGATTTGAGTGTTGACTAGAGGTCCTATCTTATATTAGTTGATAGGGTACTCCGTCAATCCTGAAAAAATAGAAATGGCGTTATATCTCTAAAAAGTATACTTATCAATATGTACAAAAATGATCGCAAATTGAGTGTAACAAATGCCTACAAATAGTTTATTTTCTTAAATGTATAACTGATTATAATCTGTTTAAAACATGTCGTATACTTTCTGCTAATCTATCATTATGTTGCAGATTGTTTTTGATTTTTTAAAACTTAACGTCATCAATTTTGATTCAATTAACGTATTTCATGTCGTGTGATCCACGCAACCAACACGTTATAATATACAATGTACGTAAAGTTACAAAGTAAAAAAACATTGCATATGTATTACTAGTCACTTAAGACTCCGGGTAAGACTCGTTAACTATTTCACGTTACGTAATTTCACCATAGGATTCTCTGGTAATTTACTTTTTTCCGGAACCTTTATTTTACATCCAATTTAGATAAACCTTACTATCCTGATAGGAAAAATAATATCTGGGGCTTTGTGCCAAATTTCATCACTTTGTGACAAAAAACAAGCCAGGAAAATTAATTTCAGAAAAGTGAAATAACATAGAATCATGTGGGAAAATGACGTAACGTGAAAGTCTTATGGCACTTCACTCAATATAGAATATCATAATATTGAGAGAACCACATTTCATTGGACATGATCGTAAATATAATACTTCTTTTATCAAAAAAATAATATTTTATTTCAAATTATACCATGTCTTTGATGCAAAAAAATGTAAATCATCTTAACATACCATTAAGATAGTCACAGGCGTTTGCAGAAGGACCACAATATAATAAAATATTTTCCTTTCTGTCTACCTATTCACATAATATCTACCTTGCTTATATAAATGTACTAATCATTTGTAATGTGTCTTTAGCAAAGGTAATTAATTTAATTTCAAATTCAAAATTTTGCTTGTATCATACAACTGTTTTGGTGTCGTACTAAGGGGATACGTATAAGGGTTTTTAATGTGCTGTAAATGAGAGGAGGCATAGCTGATTAATTTCGTTCGTACAATAAGTGTTAAATTTTAGCGTTTTTCACTTAGAGCATAGACATCCTTCAGTGGACGTCAGTATCTAGTTTAAATAGGCGAGTTTGTCGCTATTTTATGGAGGGGAGGCGGGTGGCGACTGCATATGCACAGTTCACCCTAAATGAACGGTTTTGAAGAGACAAGTAGAGTTTACTATAATTCTGAAAGATTTGTAGTAAGCTACATGCAGGCGGGTCTGTTAAATATGTCGCGAAGATGATTAACAAGTTTTATTCATGCTGTGATTTTAAAAAGAACGCGTTCATACGAAATCTAAACACAGAATAGCAATAAATGAGCATTGAGAACATCTCATAGCGTCTTATGATTTCTATTGCGCCGATGGGTTCAGTCTTGCCTGGTGTACGTGATTCAGCACAGCACACTTAGCCCTCATATATGAATATCATTAGGTGTGCATATACAAGTGCAAGCACATGTAGCATACATAAAGAGTACTGTTTGTTGGTAAAACAGATTCTCCGACGTGTATGTATACTGGTTAAGTGGCTGTTCTCACGTTTCCTGGACGACGAATTCTACATCAATTCCCCCAACTGTGGGTTATGGACGCAAGTTGTGTACCTGCTGACAAATAATACATTTGAATTTCTGAGGGAAACGTTTTCTGTTGTTTAGGTAAACTGCAGTAAGCAACGTATGAAATTATTATGCAATATGCACGTAATGTGATATATATTAAGATGTGAATACTTCTGGACAAGGAGGTAATTAACAGTGACATGTCAGACGCTTACACCCCGGACATTTTTTGTTTTAAGTGATAAACCACAAAATATCCTATTTAGCTGAGATTAAACGCTTTGTTTTAAAAATATTCGAGTCATTGATGTTTGTTAAACACATACATACACACACTGTTATACACTATTTTGAATATAGATATCCATTAAATTTATGCAATCTAATCCATTTTGATATTTGACCTTCAAAAGTGGATCATTATCTACAATAAACAATAACCATTTCAATATTATATCAATGTGCTTCTTGTGTGAGCCTATATGTTAGTAATCGATTTTGATGAGGTCATCGTCAGTTATACAATGAAGACTTCAAAAATGAAATCTGAAAGGTGTGATAATAATATGCATGCACGTCTATTATATTTGTTATAGTGTCGGGGTCTCAACTGTTTCAATGAAGACCTTCACTGTAGGGCTTAATCCCTGAATGGAGCGCAAACATCGAGCAGATTCTGTAAGTATGAATTTGTTTATAAGGTTAAGCCATATCAATATTTTTACACAGAGACCAAGTTGGAAGGGGAAGGGTAGGCCCCGAAGCCGATCCTGGAAGCATATATGTATTAGATTTTTCTAGAAATATGGGGTTGGGGATCTCAAATATTTCATAAGCCAGAGACTAAGTCACAAGAACGAAGAAAGACCCTGAGATCTAGCCTGGTCGCTGTTCATAGGTTGCTGATTGAAATTTTCAGAGTCATGACGAAGTGGCTTAACACCTAGGTCTGTGGCAAGACCCTGAAGTCAATTCTGATATCATGGTTGTGTAAGTATCCCATACCCAGCAATTGTATATACATGTATGGTTATAGGATAGGAATCTGAACCGTTTTAAAGTTATGACTTAGTCAAAGTATCTAAGTATGAGGCAGGATATTGGAACAATCCTGGTCAACATATCTTTACTTTTTTATACCTTGCAATTAAATATATAGTTAAAGGGTAGTGATCTCAATAATTTCCGAGCTCTAAGTTGTCTTTGGTCCAGCGCCTTATCCCCGAGGTTCAGTCCTTTAATAAGTATGATTTTGAATCACCACAACCAGAGAATGCGCCGAACCAAATATGGTTGATATTCATCCCTAAGTTCCAGAAACAAATCCCATAAAGCAGCATGCCAAATTTCCTTTTTCGACTCTGTTTCTAAGACCCTGGGTAGGGGTTTACAGCCCTTCAAAATGGACCATTTTGAATCCCCGCCTGCAAAAAAGGCTTCCCATCAAATTTGTTGAAATGACATCAAGTGGTTCAGAAGAGGTAATTCGTACAAATTGTTGACGGACGGACGTACCGGATGAGCTAAAGAAATGAAGTGATTCAATATACCAGTACTGGTATCTATTACCGCGTTATATTTTAATAGGCAGTGATTTGGTTCAGTAGGTGTATGTGGGTGTTGCATCGAGCATGGACCGATCAATAAGTTTTGTCAAGGCAATGCTACAATGCCATCTCCATAAGATAAGAAAAGGGAAACACCTTCGTGTGCCTATGTCTATAATGTACATATACCTCATTGTCAAGCCATAAAAGAATATAATTGAAAGAAAATGCATTACTATCACTTAATTGGAGTTAATAAAGCATTAAGTGAAAAGATTATGTATTTAGAGTGTAATTTATTGCAACTATATAGTGTGCATAATGCAAATATTACATGTATATGTTATTGAACTTAATTTATTCCATTCCTCATAATAACTTTTTTGAGCAATGATATAGTAAAATAGGTCATTCATTTTTATGCAACATAGAATCAAATTAAGATATGTCACATTGTAGATTCATCAAAATACCGTGTTTTGTTCTCTGACGCTACAGTTAAAACAGATATATTAAGCGATCTCTCTATGCCATTGCATTGGCCACTTACATGTGTATAGGGCAACACTTCACTCTAATTTATGGGAATCCCTTATTTCTCAAAACTATTCCCTTTCTGTCCCTTCCGTGGACCCCTGTAAGACCTTTGTTTACACAATTACTCCGTTAAACTCATAAAAGGATTAATTAATTATCAATTCTATTATCATTAACCAAAACTTAGCTAACTAGCTGGTGCATCCGAAAGGGGATGGGGGAGGGGGGTTACGTTATGTGTTGAAAGGATGACGCCAAACAACATACTTTCGCTTCGCTGTGGCATATGCTTTTTATGCTTTTGGGCACAGACGAGCTATATTTCTGGAGAATAAAATCAGGTAGACACATCGCAAAAATTTGTTGAAAACCTCTATTTTCTATGATGTTTTAAAACTACAAGTTCTACTCTAATGTAACGTCGGTTTATACTCGCTACACGGATCTATATTTAGACTGTTCAAAATAACTATAACCAAATAGAATGTATACAAATGCAGTTTATATCCATTTCCTGTTTATAACGACACGCTTTCAACGAGATATCTGAACACAGTTCGATTCGTCATCATTATCATTTATGTATACGTTTGTATGAATCAATATTCTAACAGTTTGTTTAGTATTAGAAGTATATATTTCACACACTTACCGAACAGTCTCTCCCTCGTCTTCGTAAGAAAACAAGCTTCAGTGGGATAGAAAATGAGTTTAGCAACTATTCTACGGTAATTATATTAAAGAAATAACACCATCAGAATTGTTCTTTTTTTAACGAAAACATATATGTCATTATTTCAATTCGAAATTTCAATTCAGTGATAACGCATTAGTTTTCTCTAAAATGATAGGTTCATCACAGTTCCGAATTGACCTGTCGTGCCACATAATTATGTTTTCATGCATAAACAAATGTTTGATGTTTATGTACAGCATTTAGTGGTTAAATCTATGGAAATAATTGAAAGGCAACTAGTCCTAATTAAAGTAATCAGAATAAACAGGTTCGATAGTGAATGTTTACCTTATACGCTTATGTGTATACAATTTGAGGAGGGATCCTGCCCCACGCCGTATAATCTAGGTCACATCCCCTCACTGCAGTACAAAGCCTGGTTAGCTTTACACTATTGGAAACAAAAACATTATATACATGTGTTCCTTAAAGGTAAGTGAGCATACCTGTCACAAAATACAATTAATATATGCTCATCGACGTAATATGTGTATTTGTTTTTTCATAAAGTTTACAACATCATGACATACATATATATAATTTACTTTGACATACCAATATCTAGCAGACACGCATGATAGCGAATGTCACCGACAGTGCATTGTGTATACAAAATATGTTAGCAGGGCTGTGCTAGTACGTTCCTCATCACTTTGGTCGATCAGCTATAATGCAGAGTATAGTAGGAATCTACAGTTTTATGACATTATCGTATCCCAGACAGCAGACATTGTGCATCCTGTATAATGTATTATTGAGTTTAAAGCGATGTGATGATCCAAATAGCACAGATTATAAAAATAGAACATCGACGTATGTGTGTAAATGCGAAATATAGTTGATGTATATAAAAAGTCCTTTTCCCGACAGCTTTTGTTTAATAAATCTATAGATTGATGCTGATCAATTATTTGTGGTTTGTTATAAAACCAATAAAACGATGACTTATCATTTTTGGTTGACATATACCTTCACCATGTTAGTCGAAACAAAGTAAAACTGGTGAGTCTAAAATGGGTCAACATATATATATTTATTGATTGACTTTCTCAATTGGCTTACCACATTTTAAAACAAGTGTTTCCTTACCTGGTCATGTTTTTAAGGTAAGCTGTGGTGACCCTAAGATGGCGGATTCACAGCACTGAGTATGACTGCAACATTCTTGGTGGAATTTATTCTGTCACAGTTAACATGAAATAAAAGTTTAATAATAAATTCTTTGAAAAAGCAGGGAGTTTTGTTATGGGTCTACACAATGTCAGTAAATATTCTGCAGGACTTTGATCAGGATGTACATGAAACATGGTGAAGTAAATATTTACTTTCTGTAGGTCTTTGATACCACTGACCATTTCTAGATAGATGTAAATGACACATGGTGAAG